GAGATGAAATATAGGAAGAAGAGATCATTTTCTGTATTTTAAGAGAAGGTGATAAGTTACTTAAATTGTTTATACTTGTGATGAAGGGGGAAGTAATTTCTTTATATGAGTGTATATGGGTTAATGGCTCCTCTGTATCTGGGACTTTGTCATCTTTGGTGCTCGATGGGGTGGCACTACCCCAGACAGACTATTTTAACCTTGATCAAATAAACCAATTTTATATTCCTTCCTTTTACTTTTAACAATCTTGATCTTTAGTCCCTTCAAATAATGTTCTAGAACTTGATTGCTTTTCATTTTTTCTTTGTCCCTTCTCACAAAATTCTTCAAAGCTTTAACAAGTCTCTTTTGTAAATCCCTTTGCACAACTTCAGGTTGTGCATCAGTTACGCCCTTTCCTGGATCGGGATGCCCTTCGAACAGTCACTCATGCCCTTGTTATCTCCCAGATAGACTACTGCTATGTGCTCTACATGGGGCTACCCTTGAAGAGTATCCGGAAGCTACAGCTGGTCCAGAATGCGGACATGCGGGCTATTTTTGGAGCCCCGAGAAGGGCCCATATAACACCATTGCTCCGCGAGCTGCATTGGGTACGAGTTTGCTTCTGGGTCCAATTCAAGGTGTTGGTTATTACCTTTAAAGCCCTACATGGCATGGGGCCAGGTTACCTAACGGACCGCCTCTCCCCTATGACTTCAACCCATCCCACTCGTTCACACAGAGAGGGCATGCTTCGGACCCCCTCAGTAAAAGAACTCCGTCTAGCGGGGTCCAGAAGGCGGGCCTTCTCTGTGGTAGTTCCTGCTCTTTGGAACATTCTGCCCCCGGAGGTGCGATTGGCCCCCTCACTTCTGGCCTTCCAAAGGACCTTGAAGACCTGGCTCTGTCACTTGGCCTGGGGTGGGGAGGGAATATCTCAAGCAGGGAGATGGCTAACCCCATAGTGGCTGGCTGTCCCTGGCCCGATTTTCTGTCTTCTTGGATGTTCCTTTTTTCGTATTGTTTTAATTCTATATATTATGTATTTATAGTTTTAATGTCTTTGTAAGCCACCCAGAGTCCCCTATTGTGGGGGAGATGGGTGGGGGAGAAATCCAATAAATAATAATA